TAAATGGACGCCAGCGAAAAATGAAAGGTGAGCAGTAATTATTGTTATCATTACAAATCTAGCTAATCCATCGAATATACACAGTATCAGTGTTTAAAAAACATACAAGAAGGCAAGTCAATATGTCTACTATTGTTGTTGTGTAGTATTTGTCGTGAAACGTGAGTAAACACAACAATATCGCATATTCTCCTGTTACCTACCTATATCGCATATGTCACATGATGTATTTAGCGACATTTGCTCTCAGCGACCACATAATGACTGCATTCACAGATCACATCTACGACACCACTTGCTACTGTATGTATAGACCAATAAATTGTGCCCTAAACATTTTTATATTCTGGTGTTATTTTAGGGCCCAATAGCCTTCCATAGGTCGCGCGTCATAGCAGACGCTCCACGCCACAAGAAACATGGCAGAGTGTGCGAATTGTTGTTCGCAGTTTGTGGCAAAAAAAAAGGGCTATGACCGGGTAGGAGTGTTTTCTGCCTTACCCAAAACTAAATATACACCGGCAGATATCATCCAGTCTGCACAGGCATTAACGCCAGGCCGTTTCCTTTGCGGAAAATGTGCTAGGCTGTTGCAGACTGAGGCACATTTGAGAGATCGAGCGTCTGCCGCGAGAAATAATTTCAAGCAGGCAACATCTTCAGCCGGATACATACACCTCAAGAGGAAGGCGGCTACCCCTCCTCGAACGCCTAAGCACTTCAGGGTGTCATTGACACCAAAGCCCAAGGTATTAAAAGACAAAGGAAAATAACAAAACAAACACAACATGCTGAATATTTTTAATATATATATATATATATATATATATATATATATATACATATAATAATATACATATTATATATATTTTTCATATTTGTTTATGTATATATAATAAAAATAAACAAGAAATGGAAAAGATACAATAAAATAATAAAAACAACAACAAAATAATAAATATTTTGAATAGCACATCCTAGAACAGTTTTCCTACACGCCTTATATAATTATATATTTATTATATATATATATATAAATATATATAATAAGTATATATTTATATAATATGATATATATATATATATATATATATATAATATAATTAATAATAATTATTGTTTATTTTTTTCATATACATATTTATATATATAAAAAATATATAATTATATAATAAAAATAGTTAATAAATG